AAGAAGCGCTCTAACCGTGCTGTTATTTCACCATAACATCACGGTTTTTTGACAAACACTATATCACACCGCTGAGACGCCGTTGCTAAGCAACGACTTTGACAGCTCTAGGAGATGCTCAAGCCATTTGAACGTTTTTACTTCTTACTTTGTGCACAAACAGAAAATGGATACCTTTAACATCACATTTGACCTACAGCCGATTTGGTCAGACTCTAAAGATGAGACTACACTAGATTCCCAAACTATCAGTTGGTCTGTGTGGAGCTGAAGAACAAACTGCCGGCTGTGCAGCGAGTGAGTGGAGTTTGTTACTGTGACGTAGCAAAAAGCTGTTTGTTAAGGAACTATAATTTGGCGGATGTAACTGCTAATATTAAAACATATTAAATGCCACGTTCACAGCCCAATTTATTAATTTCTCACTTTATTTATTTAACTGTTGTATAAAAGCAACAGAACACTCGAGGTTGTGTGTTAAAAGCAAATAACATCACAGCTGTGATGAGCTACGGTGACCAAATCACAGCCGTGATGTTATTTCGCGATAACACACTCCCTCTTGTGTTCCATTGCTTAAATAATTGACATTACATTATCTTGCTACAAAAATGGAATTGTCAATTATATACTTTCTATATTATCTTTAGCTCATATGTTTTTTTACTATTAATTGTTGTAATAAAAATCTTTAATGAAAACCACATATTGAATCACGTGTCAGGCTCCAGTCTTCGCAGGCCAAAACATTGCAGACTTCAGCATGCTGCCTCATTAAACACACCTGATTCAGCTCATCAGCTAATTACCAAGGCCTTCATGAACTGAATTCAGAGCATTAGACTAGGGTAATCGCTAATATCTGCAACACTTTGGCCTGGAAGGTCCCCAGTTTGACACACCTGTATTAAATAATATGATACTGTGCACCTCAACACCTTTTGCTGACAAAATATTTGAAGTCTTGTTTTGAAAGTGACATGTACTGCAGACATGTGCCTTTGTGAGCTCCTGCTGGTGTGGGTTCATGGTTGTTTCTTCTCTTTGAATGACAAACACAAAATCAACTTGCATGCTAATAGCTTCAGACTGCTAAACAAGAGTGAGGTCCAAATACATGTCTACATGGCTTACAAATAAAAAAAGAGATGTCTTCTTTTGTTTTTGGAACCTGTGATCATCCGTGATAACAGACCATATGCAACAGAAAGGCAGACAGAGAGTAGGACAAATTTTAATGTTTGGATCATGAATTGCACTGTGCAACAGCCAGAGAGCACCCTTTATTTATTTTTTTTACATAAATGCCTTTATTACAGCTTTGAGGTGAGTTGCTTTTAGTTTTTTTAAGAAGTCTGCAGGGATATTTTCCCACACCTCCAAAGTTCAGTCTTAGAAGTTGGTTGCACTTTCTGCTTCTCAGAATCAAAGTAAAACCAAACTTGTTCAATGATGCTGAGGTCTGGACTCTGGAGTGGTCAGTGCATTGTTCTGAGAACAGTAGCAAGCTTCTTTGTTTTTGCTTTTTTGTTTTATTTGTCTTCTTTTCTCAGTAAGAGCTTCTTGACAGCTACACATCCTTTCAGTCTCATAACATTGAGCTGTCCTCTCACAGTAGACGGATGGACAGAAAGCTATGGACTTTTTCAGATCTGAGGCAAGAATGAATTTTGATTTTCTCTTCTTTCTCAAAGATAAGAGCTTTAAGCACTGTTTATCTGATAGGGACAGGTTTAGTGGTCTGCTAGGCCATGCCCTGTTGTTAGGAGTCCTATTCTATTTCTTTTGATCATTTTTTAACTATTGTTAAAAAACTCTTGTTTTTTCATGTATTTTCCTTTGACTTTTCCCGTCCATACACAAGTAGATTATTCATATCTATGTCTTCAGAAATATCTCCTAAAAATGAATAACTTGTATTTAATGGGCCTTTTGACTGGAAATTAAATGAATGAAAAGTGGTCTCTGACTTTTGCACAGTACAGTATGTGGCCCAAAATGTATCTGGCCCGCATTATTCATGCTACCCCAATATGTTACACATTTCATTATCAGCGTCATCATCTTCTTCGTCTGACTGGAACCATAAAACTTTCCATAAACAGCATCAATGTTCAGCACGACGTGTGCAGCTGAGCACATGGACATCATTCAATGCCATTTCTCTATTTCTTCCTATCACTCGGGCAAAGCTTGTTCCTTCAACAGCAAACATCACCAGAACATGCGCACAATATCAGCTGTGATAGCTGTAATAGGTGACTGCTGTTTGATGAGAACACAAGATTAATTGCAAGGGGCTGTCAATGGAGGCCAGGAGGTCAGTAATGGAGATTCCAGCACAGCACGGGTGAGGAACGGCATGATGGTAGACCAACACAGACTCTGCAGTGGCGGTGCATTCATTCTCTGCTGCTGTAATTATGGAGATAGTGCTTTATGTCATTTCATTCATATCTCAGATGAGAATGATCAATCTCAGTGAGTGAACGCAACGAACAAAGATTCCCATTTTGCCCAGCCCTATTAATGTTGCATGCACCAGTTTCACAGTATACACATTCTGTAAAGCAGAAATGGAAATCTTTATTAACCTTTACATTTAGCTTTAACATGAAGATACAGTAAACCACAGGCTTTGCATAAATGGCACATCAAGTAATGCACACTGTGCAACTAATCTGTTGAAAATGCAAATTTCCACTTTCAAGAATGTGTGGAGTTCTACTCCAATGAATATGTATATTTCTATGAATTTGTGAATGTAGTTTCATGAATATGTGGATTTCTACTGTTACGAATATGTGCAATTCATTACTATAGATTTCTGCTGTTATGAGCATAAAGATTTCTACTGAATATGAATTCTTTGAATGCGTGCATTCTTTGGTTATGAATGTGTAGCTTCTATTGTTATGAATATGTGAAATTTTATGAATGTTATGAATATGTATATTTCTACTGTTACGAGTATGCAGATTTCTACTATGATGAATATGTGTAATAATGTCTAAAGGTTTGAATACATAGGATTCTGTGTCTTCTATTGTTATAGAAATGTGTATGTCTACTGTTATGAATATGTGGAATTAAATGCATATGTAGACTGTACTGTTATGGTTTTGCATGTTTCTGTTCTTATAAGTATGTAGATTTCCACAGTTTTGAATATGTGGAATTCTGCTGTTATGAATAAGCCAATTTCTCTACTCTACTAGATGTGTATGTGGATCCCACTGTAGAAGGACTGTAGTTGCTGTAAATTGATCTGTTGGATTAAAGGGAAATGTGGAATTCTACCATTAGGAATATGAGGAATTCTAGTAATAAGTAGATTGTCACTGTTTTGAATATGCATATTTCTACTGTTATGAGTGTGGATTTCTACTGTTATGAATATGTGGAAATCTGCTGTTCTGAATATGTGGGATTCTATGTTATGAGTACACAGTCCTGCAGTCATGAATCTGAGGAATTCTATAAATGTGTGGATTCTACTGTTTTGAATAAATCAGCTTCTACTTTTATGTATACGTTGATCCTTCTGTATAAGGACTGAGGTTGGTGTAAATGGATCTGTTGGATTACATGGAAATGTGGAATTCTACCATTTGGGATATGTGGAATTCTTTATCTATGTCGATGCTCACTGTTATGAATAATTATATGAATGTGTGAATTCTAGTGTTGTAAACATGGATATTTCTACTGGTGGAATTCTACCATTAGGAAAATGTGGAATACTTTAACTGTGCGGATTTCTACTGTTATGAATCTGTGGAATTTTATGAATGTGTGTATTCTACTGTTAAGAATAAATAAATTTCCACTCTTATGTATACACTGATCCTCCTGTATAAGGACTGTAGTTGGTGTAAATGGATCTGTCAGATTAAACAGAAATGTGGAACTCTACCATTTGGGATATGTGGAATTCTATAACAATGTATATTCTCACTGTTATGAGGAAATATGAATGTGTGGATTCTAGTCTTATGAACATGTATATTTCTACTGGTGGAATTCTATCATTAGAAAAATGTGGAATACTTTACATATGTGGATTTCTGCTGTTATGAATCTGTGGGATTCTTTGAATGTGCAGACTCTCCTGTTATGAACATGTGAACTTCAGTTCTCCTGTGTTTGTGGATCCCACTGCAGAAGGACTGTAGTTGCTGTAAATAGATGTGATGGATTAAAGGGCAAAGCCTGGTCAGTCACGCCCTAACTCCACTGCATACTGATCTGTCCATGGGTGCTGAGCCCTCCCTCTCCATCTGAGGCTCAACTTCACTCATCATCTCCTGTAGCAAGGACAGGGTTAAGCGCGCTTCGCTTGCGCTGCCAAACGTCTGCACAGTGCAGGTGCCACCGCGGGAGTTTAGGACCGGAATGCCACTGCGGTCTTCCCTCAAGGAATTCCACAAGTCTCTGGATTACTCTTTGTCAGCTTCTCAATCTTCTTTTTTTTTCATCTCGTGCGTAAATGTGCTGCGTCGTGGTGGATGATGGAACGTGACGCGCAGCGACGGAGCTGAACCCGGAGCTCGGACACAGCTGCAGAGTTTGGCGTTGTTGTCTTTTTTCCTTTTCGTCGCTTTTGGGGTTGATTTCGGGGATGCAGGCGTCTCCTTTTGTGCGTTGCAGCGTCGTGCACGCGGCTGCTTCCCGCGCCTTTCGCACACGAGCGAAAATAATATTGAGCAAATGTTTAAAGCCTTTTTAAAATACAGGTAACCTGTTTTTTTTTTCTTCCTGCAAAGAGATGCAAAACGACGTTGTTTTTGCAACACGTGCACACGCGCGCGGAAACACTGTCTGTAACTTTGGAGTTTTTTGGGTTTTTTTCGCACAGAGCCACAAGGCGAAGGGAAGGTTGTTGGCGGTTGCGCTGCTCGCGCGGACACCCACCGTCGTCGTGGTGGTGTTTTTTCTTGTTTTTTCACCCCCCTCTTCTCCACGCTCGAGCTCTCCACACCTCGGGCTCGCGCTGAGCAATGACGGCTCGAGGGCTCGCGCTGCTGCCCCTGCCCCTGCTGCTGCTGCTCTTCTTACCCTTCCTCGTGCTCCTTCTCGCCCCCGCCGCGTGCCTCGCGCACCCGCAGCCGTGCCAGGTGCTGAAGCGCGTGGGCCACACGGTGCGAGTGGGAGCCCTGCACCTGCAGCCCCGCGCGGTCCGGCAGCAGCACGGCCTCAGGAGGAAAACTTTCGACCGCGAGTGGGAGTGGGAGTGGGAGCGGGAGCGGGAGCGAGACATGGGCCACACGGAGCTGGAAGTAACGGCCAAAAGCGGGAACGAGCTGGGCGCGAGGGCCGTCAGGACCAGAGGCTCGAGCGGCGGCAGCCAAAAAGGCGCGAAAAGTAAGAACGCGCTCAAACAAGTGGAGACGGAGAGCGCGTTTGTGCCCAGAGACTCCATCCTGCTGGCGACCGAGACGCTCAACCGCCTGCCGGGTCTGTTACCCTACAACCTGTCGCTGGAGATAGTAATGGCGGTCGAAGCTGGACTAGGGGAGCTACCGGCCTTCTCCTTCTCTTCCTCCTCCTCCTCTTCCTCCTCGACGCCGGTGTGCGCCGACCCGGTGTCTTTTCTTCACAGCGTTTGCCACACGGTCATCGTCCAAGGAGTCGCTGCCATCATGGCGTTCCCTCAAAACAGGGACGAGTTAGTCAAGTTGGAGTTTATTTCCTCGTCGCTTCAGATTCCGGTCGTGAGCGTCGTTCAGAAAGAGTTCAAACGACAGAGTCAGGTAGGGGCACCTGTTTTTGTCTCATGTTCCGGACCATGCTAGCACAAATTGTGTAAAACTGAGGTGTTTTCATGTGTGTTGCTATCAGTAAAGGGACTGTGTGTTGAGGCCTCGAGGGGCCATGACTGTAAGTCCGAGTGTACACAGCTTAAGGCTCGATACGATTTTCGATTCATTTTCGATATTTTATGTTTTGTGTCAGTGTCTCGGTTCTACAGAGCTGCGATTTTCGATTTGATTTATATACTACACAATTTTTCTCAGCTCAGAAAAATACACATTTTATTTAAGAATAAAAGATCTTTGTGCGTAATAGTGAACAGTGCAGGCGGGCTATAAACAATACAAAAACAGACAGGATGGACCCAGATGGTTGATTTTATTGTCAGTTGTTTCCACTAGAGAGGCACCGAATCAGGAATTGTGGGCTGATGCCAGTGTCCAGTATTGTTTGTGTAGCCAGCTGTTGATCTTAGGCCTGTTACAATTATTGCATAATTTCCTACTCGCAGTTTTTTTAATGATCACAATTATTTAAGCTGACTGAAGTAAAAGTCGTTAGATTGACTTAAGTAGATAGTCGTGAGCAAATAAATGTAAATAAAAAGTTGGTGCTCTAGCGTGTTGAGAGCAGCGTGAGTGATATTTATTTGTTAGCTATGTAGCAATACTATCATTTTTTCATGTATGAGAAAAGCTTTTTTTTTTGCTAATATTTTCACTCAAAAATGAGTTTTGCTTGACTCCACACAATTCTGTGTAAACGAACACACTTAAAAAAGATGCATCTTCAGGGTTTTTTAGTAAAGGGAATTGTTCTGTTTAGAATCATAAGTCCTGTATAGAACCTTTTGCATGCTTAATGGTTCTTTGCATAGTGAAATGGTTCTTCAGACTGATTGAGAATGTGTTGCATATGGTTCTATATAGAACCTTTTTGAAGATGGTTCTATACATCACCAAAATGGGTTCTTCTGTTCTTACAACACACTTTAAAAAGATGTCGCTTTCAAGAGTTCTTTAGTAAAGAACATGGTTCTATTTAGAAATCTTTTGCATGATTAAAGAGTTCTTAGCATGGTGAAATGTTCTTCAGATTGATATACAATGTGCTATAGATGGTTCTGTGTAGAACCGTTTTTGAAAAGGGTTCCATATAGCACCAAAAAGGGTTCTGCTGTTGTTAGGATGTTAAGCCCATAGCCATAGAAGAACCCTTTTGGTGATACATAGAACCATCTATAGCACATTCTCTGTCATTCTGAAGAACCATCTTTTTTTAAGTGTGTTGGCAAAAATATATTTTTCAGACAGTGCAACCAGTACTAGATACTAAATAAACACTGCTAGGAAGCAAGATGGCTAATCAGCCTGTTGGGCCACTTTAGGCTCGTACTTTAAGACAAGACAGTTAAATTGTTGATCGCAATTATTTGTCATAAATTATCGCCAGCTAAAAATTAATGACTGTGACAGCCCTAGATGATCCTGATACATTAATGACATAGAAATTTAGATCCACCTGGAATAAGATTAAGATCTGTTTGTATAGGATTATAAGTGTGGTAAAATCAATAAAATGCAGAGATTTTAGCGTGTTAAAAGTCCTTGCCTAAAAGTGTTCTTTCAGAGTACGATTAATGCTTCATCAAATATGTAGTGCTACAGATTTTTTTTGAGCAATGAACTACCAGTCTAATATATTTTTGACATCATCATGCTTTCCTGGGTTTAAAAAAAGACGGCTTTATTGGCAACACAGTTTTACATTTACAGTACACCTTGTACATTGTTTTATTTCTATTTTTTCCTTTTGTATTGAAATTAGGGATGTACAAAGATGTCAGAATCATATTTCCATCAGCAAATGTTTGATTAAAATATATATATATTCGTTAGGATCGATGTTTAACGATTTCACAAAGCTTCACAAATGTAATATCTTCTGATACTGGTGGTCGTCCAGATCCCTTTGCCCAGCACAGACAGCCTTCCTCTTTGAATGTTTTGTGCTATGTCCAAATCTGCTTTCCAGTTGGTGCATTTTTATTGAATTTTCTCGAAAATGCACGCTGCACACTCTTGTTTGACTGTGTTCGAGCATATTCTAACACACAAAATGCCTTTTCATTTCTAGTGAATGCCATTCTTTAACCTGAAAAAAAACATTAAAAATTAAACTTGGTTAGTTTTTACAAATTTTGTTAAAATTTGCGATCATTTGAGGGAGAATTGGCTATGTTATTAGACTACGAAATTATGTCAATTTCTTTGGGACACCCTGTATATCACCATTGACAGATATGTACATGGAACACTATCGGACATTGGACATTCCTGTAGCCATGCAGCTCTAATTGAAATCTTTACATGCTAAATTTGTATTATTTAGGTAATTTTTATAGTTAATTTTTCTGATTTTAATGAAACAGATGGCAACAGAAGAACTGTATTTATCATCAGCACAACGAATACAACGCAGGAGACTGCACCTCAAATGTAGTGGAGGTGTAGTTGGACTTACATCTGAGAAGTGATGCCTTGTGACCGGCATTTAAGTTCTCAAGTGGTTTTTCTGTTAGTTATTCTTGGATGCATGAATTGTGTATATGTATGAATCACAGAGGAGTATGATGGAGTGACCACTGATGTAGTGGTTAAGTTCTCATGTGGCTTTTCTGTCAGTTATTTTTGGGTGTGCATGAATTGTGTATATGAATGAATCAGAGAGGCACACGATGCATATGCATGAACAAGGGCCTCAACATCTGCTGCAGCATTCGCAGTAATACAACAGGTTGGGAGCCCCAGAGGCTGATTAAGAACGCATGCCACTTGGATTCACTAGTACATATTAGGCCACTCTATCAGTCTGAGCTCTGTATATACCTTTGTACACCTGCCCATAACTGAAAACCAGCTGAAATTAGCCCCATGTGAGCCTACGATCACTATGCCCAGTGCTAACTGTCAGCTAGGGAGGTAGAAGGCCCCCCAGCATTGCACTGCAGAGCAGTGGAACAATGTTCTCTGGAGTAATGGAGCTCAATCCAATATCTTTGTTTATTTATATAGCGCTTCTTACAGCAAGTGTTGTCACAAAGCAGCTTTACAGAAAAATCTGAATCTGCAAGCCCCCATGACCAAGAACCGATCCCCCTCTGGTCGACACCACATAGCAAAACAATAACACATGAAAAGGCACAATAATACAAACAACTTGTTTAATTCTACAAAATAAAAGGAAATGTCAGAGTAAAACATAATTCTGTTTTTTGAACATTAAACCACACAAATGTTATAAGTGGGTTTCAGTAGGATAAAAGAACTAAGAGAGCGTGTAGAAAATGGGCCCTTTAACCACCACATTTGCCTTGCTCAAGATTTCAATATTCAGTATGTCAAAGTTACGTTTCCTACCAGAGAATCGTTTAGAATGTATAAAGTTAAGTCATATTTTCCTAAAAGCACAAAATCTGTGCTCTTTTCTATGCCCTTTTAAACCTGACCTGTTATTTTTTGCACAATTCCCACAGGCCATGTTTCAGGCAGTCAGATTACTTGAAGTTAGCACCATCTTCTGGTCAGACAGGTCTTTGTTTACATGTGTCCAGGTGAAAGCTGGACCAACTTGAATTCCATAAAATATCTACGGGTTCGTCCATCAACACCAAATATGAATTGATGTCTGCGATTGTTGGACGAAAATTTTTCTTGACCTTTGACAGTCCCTGTTAAGATCCTTGTTTGCAGTGGTGACTTGTATTGACTGAAGACAGATAAAGCAGAGCACTAGGTGTCTGTACACCACTTTAATTTATTAACATATTTTTGCTGACTGTATCTGTTTGTTCTGTCTGTTTGTTCCCTTCAGACCCTTTTTCTCTTATCTTCACTCATTGATATAGCTCTCAGACAAGAGCTGTGTGGCTAATGTAGCTTAATTAGCGATGAAATCTGAGTAATCTGATGAAATCTGGGCACCCTTAGCACTATCAAAGCCAGTGAAAGCCATTAGCTCAAAAAGTTAACAGCATCCGCAACTGGTCTAGTATAGTGTGAATTGGCATGGTTTGGTCAGTAAGCTGGAGATACAGAATAGATTCCTATAACATGCTCATGTGTCATAGCATGGCATGTTACACAAATATAACATGACAGTTAAAAGCAATTTACCATTTATAAAAGCAACTTGGGGAGAATATAGCTGGAGAGGCAAGAGTCACTGTGTTGTAGTATATTAAAAATAACAAGGAGGATATTAGAGACATACAGTAATGCTAAAAACTGGTAATTAAGTCTTTTAATATTGAGCATCAGCCCATTTTGAGTCTGATTCAATATGTTTCATTAGGACTGGGGAATATAATAATATGTATGCTTATTGTGATAAATAATACCACAATGCAATATGCTTATCTGAACATATTGTGTATATTGTCATTACTTCAGTATGTATATTGTGTATATCGTGTATATTGTTCGTACATAAAAACAATGCTAATTTAGTCCCATTTTACTGGATTTAGTGCAACACAGTGTGGGAAATATTGAATAAAAATCATTGTGTTCAGTTTTTGATAGTATTTTTTTAATGTAGCACTACTGGCTCTTTTTTCTCTGTTTAAACTGATCAGATGTTTGAAAAAAATAAATGTCATCTATCAAGATATAATATTTTTGCCACCCACCTCTATTTTTTACAGCTAATATAGCTACAAAGTGCACTTTTTACACACAATAAACATAGTAAAATCCATCCAGTTTTTGTAAAAGATGTTGCTAATTATTTTTAAATGTCACAGAAAATCACTTCATTTTTAGTACATGATTAACCACAGTGGAAACCTCATTTTCATTTTAAATTGCTTCCATGTTGCAGACATTTAAACTGCTTGTTAACTTCTGAAAACATGCCTTGCTGTTGCAAGAAGTGGATAATATTTGTTTGTCACCCCTACAACAGTGGCATAAATAGAGCACAATGGAATAAAATAAGGATCAGAAGTGAATCAGGCTTAATATAGCCAGTATCCATTTATTAAACTATGCCTGGATCAGCTCTAATTCTAATTCTTAAAACTTTTGTTGCCGTTACCTCTGATTTTACATTAAGATGGCCATGAATACCTGTAGTCTTAATGCTGTACAGCCTTATTCTTTGGCTTAACGTGTTCAGGCACAGTGTTTATGATTTGGTCTGATTAAGCCTGTAACAAGTATGACATAATATCCTAAACACGTTTTTTTGAGATGAACGCAGTTATTTGGACTGATCACAGATTTTCCACAATCGTGTGTATGTGACAACAAACAGAATGAGAATTGTGTATATTTTTATTTGTTGAGGCAAGTGCATGTAAATAAAAGTAATGCATTTATTGAGACACTTCATGGGTCTTATGAAAGCAAAAGGTTAACCTTTTGACTATTTCTATAATGCGGTTGGTGGGCAATGGTGCATAATGTTTGTTTATTTGAGCTCAAGCTGTGTCTGTTGATGGCTAGGAAGCAAATTTGACCACTTTATAGTTGTACTTTGATAATTAACAATAAACAAAAAAAGACAAATTGTTAATTGTAATTATTTATAGTAAAATATAAATTTATATATTAAATAATCTTCAGCTAAAATTTTGTGACAGGCCTAGTCTTATTTGAGATGTTTTGTCTAGTATGTTGCATAGTAGAGCCAGAACACTGCATCTACTTATTCTTATTCTATATCCTTTGATTTATATTTGAGAAGCAGTTATGTGAGACCTGGTTTTTGAAGACCTTTTTGTAAAGAGTGTTATTTTAAATAATACAAACACCTCAGTGATGAAATATCAGGGAATTGTTATGACAGTTTCAGTGAGCAAGCAAGCTTAACTGGCTTGACGAATTAGCATATGTCAAACAGATGAAACCATCTTGGACCAAATTCATCATCATCAGAACTATAGCACATGTCAAACATGGCTTTTGTCCTTTGTGTGATGTAGATTGAATATTATTTATTCATTGCAAACATTTAGTAAGACAGGGACATCCACAGGTAAAATCTTATTCAGCATCAGATGGCTATTCAAAAAGACTGTCTATAAAGTGTTGCTGGTAATTGCACTTATCTGGCAGGCTAGGTCAATGGGGTAGTCTTCATAATAACTTGTAAAGTGAAAACAAATCTTCCTTTGTTTAGACTTCTTGAAATAAATCCATGGAAAACATTTCTTTAATCAGTTACCATTAGCCTGTTTTCAGCTGTCACTTAAACACAGCTCCCGAGGGAAATTAAACAGATCAGCTAAGCGTTTCATCCAGTCTCTGTGAAGGACTTGCTCTTCTAAGAAGGGCGATATGAGGTTATTGATTGAGTATTATTCTACTGATCTACTAGACCAATGTTGGGATCTCAAAACTGACTTTTGCTGTGGAAAAATGCAAAACTCTACCAAAACAATCTGAATCTGATGTCTGCAACAGTTGGAAATGAGCAGAAACTCCCTAGCAGGGTTTTGGAAGGTCAATTAAGATTATAACGCTTTGCTTTATTGGAGAGACCTTAACATCTTTCACCCCACCTGCAGAGTGTCGTCAGAATACCCAAAACACAACAAACAAATCATTTAGACCACTGAGTTGTATTAATTACTGATCCAAAATATGGCAAGCTATTACAGGTAATTGCTCACATTGTCTTTGAATACAGAAAGCAGCCTAATGCAATCAAATACAATTATACTGTCTCAAAGTTAATGAAAACACAGAGTAAAAGGATGAATACAAAACTGGTTGCTGTCTTCATCGGGCTAGTAAGTGTGTTTATGTTTATAGGGCTGCTCACTGATCTGTACAATACACCAGATGCCATTGCTAATCAAATACTGTATTATAATGCAAAAACTTTATGTCTACTGGAAAGAAAAAGTATATACTAGTTGTGAAAATATAAATATATCTGAACATGCAAGCAAATAGTCCACTGTTACCTAGAGGGTAAGCCACCTTCATTTTTTCGGTAATGATTTTCTCTCTCATTTCCACCCAACAGAACTTCCTTCATTTCCAGATGGCCATGCAGAATCCCCCAACTCCTCAGGCAGATCTAATCTTCTCTCTCCTGTCCATTAATAATTGGTATGATGTCAGCCTGTTGATGTGTCAGGAACTAAATGTTTCCAGATTTGTATTCCTGCTCCGCAACAACTCCAGATTTCACCTAGGATCTGTTGTAAACATTTCCATTACCAACAGCAGTAACAAAGGTGACTTTCAGACATTGCTGCAGGGTCATCTGGACTCCATCAAGGACTCTACGTCCACCATAGTGACCTTTGGATGTGATATCCGGGACATAAAAAGGATTTTTACAACTGTAGCAAAGTTTGGGTTAATGCTGCCTGACTACCACTGGATTTTAGGCGATTCCCAAAATGTGGAGGAGTTAAGGACAGAGGGGCTGCCGATGGGCCTTCTGGCACATGGGCGAATGGGGCAGCCCTCTCTGGACCACTACGTCCAGGATGCGTTGGAGCTTGTCACGAGGGCTGTTGGTTCGGCTGCAATGGTTTCTCCAGAGCTCGCGCTCATTCCTGGCATCACAAACTGCATGGCAATTGAGGAGAAAAATCTCACCTCAGGAAAATTTCTGTCCAGGTATTTTTTGTGCATGTCCTAACCTCTGGCTTACTTTCACTGTCTTAAATGTGAAGCTTCACTTGATGCATTTTGTAGTGAGAAATTATGGCAAAGTATTTTAAGCTTCGCACTATGCCATTTAACCACATAAACTGCTAATCTTTAAATTCTCAATATGTTGTAGTTGTTATTTTCATTTTCACCCAATTCAAATTTGTTAACTGCAGTTTGTAACTTGGAATTTAGTATGTTCCTCATGGTAAGTGTCTTCATAACAGTAGCATAGTAGATAGAATCTGTTGGAGATAAACCCACATACCTATTGATTGTGACCAAATTACATCACCAGTCCATACATTCATAAATATTCATTTTTATGTAATTTTATGTTTTAAATGTACTAAAAACTGATCAACCCTCAAACATTCCAGATTTATAAACACAGTCTTGTGTCAGCATTACTGCAAAATCTAAAGACATACAACAATTTCCTGAGCTCATAATTTGATAAAGCAACATCACACTATTGTGAAATGCCTAGGGCGATGCCTGGGGCCTGCCAGCATTTTTCCATACAGATCACAAACAACTTGGCAGAATATAAAATGGCTGACCATGTCCTGTCATGACTAAAGGTAAGATAAGTGCCACTCTGACACAAGGTTATCTCTGAAAGAGCACGCAGAATAACATTTTGGCCATGACCTTACTTCAGAAGTAGATTTTCAAATGCACACATCATAGTAGGGAAAAAAGGTGAATTTTGTTCTTTTTTATACAATGACAGCAAAACGTATTGATATGCTGGCAAAACACTGCATATGTTCCAACGAAATGTTAGATGTTTATGCCTTTTGGTTTGGTGGAAAAGCGAGTTACATCTGTAATACCATAAAGGTGTGTGACATTAGAGATGTAACGTTTCCCTACAATCTCTGAATGACAGGATGCTGCTGACTGTATGCCTATATATCTGCTAAAGATCATCCTTTACATCTAAAGGTAAAAAGTTGTGTGATGTGATGGAGGGCAAAATTTGCTCCTTCCGGATAAGCCCAGAGAAGAAGAAAAAGCACAACCTGGTAGATGGGAAGTATTATCATAGTGAGTAGACAGAAAGCTGACAGGGAAAAACACAAGGAGTTGTAGTGCATGACTTTATGCAGGTAGCTGACACAGTCAAAGAAGCAGCATATCATCTGCAGCCTCTCAAGATGCACAGTGTCAAGCAAGCCTCTGGCTCGTCCTGTCCAACTGCCACAGGGGCTTCATTATAGATACTCAACTCTGTTCTCATTGCAGATTTAACAAGTGTTACCTCTGCCTCCACTGCTGTGAAACGTAAAAACTGAAATACTGTGGAAAGAAAGAAGAGACAGGGGCATTGAAATTGTTTTGTGTTTTCTTTTGCTCCAGGTTCATGGCCAACATGTCGTTTGATGGGCTAAGTGGGTACGTTCATGTTCGAGAGGAATCTACCGTCATCTCAGAAAGCCATCACTTTATTTGGAACTTGCAGCACGACCCTATAGGAAATCCCATGTGGACTCGGCTTGGTAGCTGGAAGCAGGGGAAAGTAGTAATGGACTATGGAGCTTGGTCCAGCAAGAGGCAGTCTTACCCTGGGGGCGACTGGAGGCATTCCTCAAGGCTGCACTTGCGGGTAGTCACCCTGGTAGAACATCCTTTTGTGTTCACCCGTGAGGTGGATGAGGACGGCCAGTGCCCCGCAGGGCAGCTTTGCCTGGACCCACTAACGAACAGTACAGCTCTGCTGGAGAGCCTTTTTCAGGGCCTTCAGGGGGGCAATGACACTGTGCCCATGGAACTGAAAAAATGCTGTTACGGCTACTGCATTGACTTGCTGGAAAAGTTAGCTGAGGATATGGGCTTTGACTTTGACCTCTACATTGTGGGGGATGGAAAATATGGCGCCTACAAGAACGGCCGCTGGACAGGTCTAGTGGGGGACCTCATGAGTGGGGCGGCACACCTGGCAGTCACCTCCTTTAGCATCAACTCAGCTCGCAGTCAGGTGATCGACTTCACCAGCCCATTCTTCTCCACCAGCCTAGGTATCCTGGTCAGGACTAGAGATACAGCTGCACCAATCGGAGCCTTCATGTGGCCTCTGCATTGGAGTATGTGGCTTGGAATATTCGTGTCCCTACACGTGACGGCGGTGTTTCTTACTCTGTATGAGTGGAAGAGTCCTTTTGGGATGACCCCAAAGGGAAGGAACAGGGACAGAGTTTTTTCCTTTTCCTCAGCACTTAATGTTTGCTACGCCATCTTGTTCGGAAGGACAGCTGCCATTAAGCCGCCAAAGTGCTGGACGGGCCGATTTCTCATGAACCTTTGGGCCATTTTTTGTCTGTTTTGTCTGTCTACATACACAGCCAATCTAGCCGCCGTAATGGTTGGAGAAAAAACCTACGAGCAGCTCTCAGGTATACACGATCCGAAGGTAAGAGTTTTATTTTTCTTTTTTAAATGTCTCGAGGGTGGATACACTTTATTTTCTGAGGGTGAAGTGGTCATATGTTGTTGGTGCTAATGGTAATGGTTCTCTTTTTTAAGCTCCATCATCCATCACAGGGTTTCCGGTTTGGGACAGTGCGGGAGAGCAGTGCTGAGGATTATGTGAAGAAAAGCTTTCCGGAGATGCACGAATACATGAGGCGATATAATGTTCCTACAACCCCCGATGGAATAGACCACCTTAAGTGAGTCATAATCTTGAAAGCAAAGGAGAATAGATCACAGCTTCGGACATGCAATGTACTGAACGTTCTAAAGTTGTCCTCTACCATGTCCATTTAGTGTTATATATGACATATATGACATAGCTCTCGGATAGCTAAGGGTTACACCAGTACTTAAGAGAAGAAATTAATCATTGCACATTGCATTATAGTTAAGGCTTTGAGATAGTCAGCAACTTTATTAAACAATACCTGTCACAGAACAAGTGTCACAATATGATATGATACAATTACAAAACACTCCTGACTTACCTTAAACATTAGTCTTAAAAACTACAGAAATGTTGGGGAGCATGATAATGTTTACCATTTTGTTTAAGTTTAAAAAATACAGGAATAATAAATAAATAATGTGGAGGGGGTGTTGATCAGAGCACAAGGATGCAGAAGAGTGAACTTTCTGCACTTTTAATTACAAAAAACAGCAGCACAGGAAGCAGTAGTCAGTATTTGGGCAAATATGCGTGTGTTAGACAACAAAATGTTTTCTAAGATCAAATATATTTTCAGATCACTTCATGTCTCGAAAGTGGTTACTTTTCAAACACTGCAAAATGGTATCTTGTCAAGTGAAGTTTTTTTTCAAGCAATTTTAAAGCTTTTTTTTGTTCTGACAGCAATTGTGTATCACAGTAACATCATCTGTTTAGTTTTTAAGAGTGTTACAACACAAAGCAACTCTACAAACACATAACCTAAATGCTGACAGCTAAGCTCTAATTACAGGATTTACAAACTGTTACCTCACTACAACTGTAAACTAAAACAATGATGATTACATTAGATTACATTCAACTTTGTCAGTGTGCAGAGTATAGGTACAGAGCCAGTGAACAGGTACAGAAGTGCAAATACAGTATTATTTACATATAAAGTGCAAAGAGCCTAAACGACAATTGACAGCTACAGTATGTACAAATAAGGATGGTAGAGTGGTAAAAAAAAATATAAATGGTGCAAATATAAATATAATATACACATATATAGAGTGAGTGTAGAGAATGCAAATGTAGGTAGTATGTACTGTTAGAGCAGCATATCACTGCTGTCAAAACAAAACCTTGTATTTTCATTTTTGCAGTTTTTGACATAATTTGAAAAAACCTGTTGTCCTTTACATTGCGTGAAGATTTGAATGGACCAATAAAATGGACCAATAAAAGTCAAAATGTCTTGGAAAAAAGTCTGGTTCCATCCACTTACATTAAAAATACAGTATATTTTTTCCTTCTGCTGTAAAGTTACAATTTTGGAGATACAAGGTTTTGTTTCGACAGCAGCGATATGTAAAGCGATAAGTATGCAGAGTGCAGTAACTGTCTTTGCAAATATGAATGGTGCAGTCATAGACTGTGCAAATATTAATAGTGCAATAATACGAGGATGCTCTGTTGTTATACATTAGAACATAATACCTAATTAACAAAGATAATATAAGCCTTAACAGCCGTTTAATATACTGCATTCTTGCAAACACATGATGCACAGAAGGAACCAGAGTGAAACTGTGCAATGCAGTTGTTTATACAAATAATAATAATAAACAAAGGACTAAATCCTAACTATCAGAGCGTGCTTGCTATGAGCTGTGTGTTGTAAACGTCGCTCTCTGAATGCAGTATTAGTTTCACTCGGGCATTAAGCTTTGAGCTGTGCAAAAGTAAATTCATAAATATCAACAGAGCCACTGACTTATCCATGATATATTGCCATATTCATATTTTGAACATAGCCCTAATTATAATACACAGGGTGCCCAGACTGTACTTTGGAGCGCAGCATCCACAAGCAAAATGGATTTTTCCTGATTGCATCACCTGAATGCATGCCTTGCCACTCTTTAGTGTGCCCTTTTGATCTTTCACAACCTCTGCAGATGGATTTAGGCACTGTCCTCAAATCACACCTTGTGCTTCCAAAATATTGCTAGTGTGTATTTTATAAATCCCCCAAACAGCATAGCCATCATGGAGTTCTGTACAGTTCTTTGTTGTACATAAAATGCAGTGCAGGTCCTTCCTAAAATCCAACTGCAAACTGTGTTTCCAAGATAACATGCTTTTGGAATTGCACAGGATAAATTTGTGCATATCTGCTCCCTAGAAACTTGGTTTGTGACATGCTAATCCTTTTTACCATCTAGCCTTATAGGCATTTCATTGAATGGAAGTTTTGTCCTGTGGAACACATTAAAGTCAACACTATGTAATCTTGTCAAAGAGCAGTATGACGTTGCTTGTAATCAGAGATGGACATGTAAAAACAGCAGAATGTGCTTCTGCGATAGTGCACTCCTTTTGAGAGAACTGTCAATACGTAAATCAGCTGCATGAATCGAAAGCAGTAAATGGCTGCATGTAATAGGTATGTTCCATATGCTATTTACAGAGATGATCCTCAGAAACTTGATGCTTTTATCATGGACAAAGCCCTCTTAGACTATGAAGTGTCTATTGATGCTGACTGCAAAACACTCACAGTGGGGAAGCCATTTGCGATTGAAGGCAAGTAGATCAATGGTTTCTTTCTTAAGTTGTACCAAATCCTTACTTTCAGCTATAGATGAGCTACATAATTATGCCTCAAGCCCTTACAACAATGTAAATAACAAGTACAAGAGGCATATAATGTTTAGTGTTAACTAATCAGTTTTCCATTAGTTATTTGGTGAATATTTCTTATACTTGTAGTGCAGAGTTAACAAACAGAAAATGTATAGTATCCAATGTGCTACAAGTATAATGAGTAGTATTCAACAAATTATTGAGGTTTTCATTAAAATACGTCTGAGAATATAAAGCCTGCATGACATAGTGTTACCTTTCTAGTCTGAGTAACACAAAGATCACAGGAAAGATATGGATATAAGCTAGAGATTGCACAATACCAAAATGACACTGAAGTCGTGTGTATCGGCAGATACTGATACAGAAACAGTATTTGTTATTTTTTAATATTTCTAAGCTTTAAACTTAGCTATATTTAATATTTAATAGAATCTTTAACTGAAGTACATCGCCTGAGGGGAATTCCATTGTTTTTTAAAAATCATTAAGATGTAAACAAAGTCATTTGACATGAATGCTCAGTTCTAGAGAAACTTACAGATCAGAATTGTTCACAGTGGTGGTGATAGGAACCAAATGTCTGAAGAGTTTAATGCCGTTAAAGCTTACTACACAAAATGGTTATGAATACACTGTCTGATGTCTGAGTGGTACATGCAGGGTGTTCTAAAACGAAATAATATCCAAAGAAAACCAATTTACCACTGTTTTACCATGATCAGCATTACATATGAAACTCAAAAGACATCATTGCGGTCCCTGGTTCCTATCACCATTGTAAAAATATCTGAGAAGGTCAGTTTCTCTGCAATTAGCCATTTCACACCAACACAGTCTGAATGACTTTGTTTACATTTCAACTGTTAAATTCCACAGAAATTTAGAAAAATCTGTGGACTCCCAAGCAGCTTAATTAAACTGTACTACCCAAGAGGAAACAAATAGCCCGCAACACAGCTTATATTAAAACTGCAGATGTTTATTATTCAGTCAAACTCATCTCTTCAAGAAACACCCATAAATATGTTACATTAATTATAATGTTATACTTAGCTAACTACTTATGCTTATGTTACTGGTAAGCTATATTTGGCTACTGTTGCTATCACATGACCATGTTACTTTGCCTTACGTTGCACTGCACTACAGGTAAATGTGTGATATTTCAGTTTGAAACAGATTTGTTCTTTTTCCCTCTTATATCTGATCCAACATGTAACTGGTATACATGTCTACATACTCTAGCTAAAAGTTACATCTACTTCAGATTCTTTGTGCATTATTTATATAACCCAAGACCTTTCCTATAATTTAATTCACAGGCTATGGCATTGGTCTCAAACAGAATTCTCCTCTGACTTCAAACATCTCTGAGTTGGTCAGTCAGTACAAGTCAGATGGATTTATGGACATGCTTCATGATAAGTGGTACAAAGTGGTCCCCTGTGGAAAAAGAAGTTTTGCTGTCACAGAGGTAAGAGAAATCAGTAGTGCTTTTAATTGTACATTCTATCATATCAACTGAAGTGATGCTGGGTTTGGAGCTCTAAGGGGCTGTGTTTATCTTTGAACATATTCTAATGTGTATTTTGTGATATCCAGACTTTACAGATGGGGATCAAACACTTCTCAGGGTTATTTGTAATGCTCTGCGTGGGTGTTGCCTTGTCTCTCCTCACCACTATTGCTGAACACATTGTCCATCGCTGGGTGATACCCAGAATGCAGAACAAGCCACAGTACCAGTACTGGCTTCACACAAGTCAAGTGAGTCCATTTGTCTTCTTTCACATTGACTACATTAACTATAATCGAATAACATAACAGTGATGTATTAGAGCTATAAAGGAGTACTGTGTAGATAAAAGGTAACAGTATTTGCATATTCTCAATTGGCGTTTCCTCATTTTCTTTTATTACATTTAATATGATTGTCTTGTCAGAGATTACATCGAGCACTTAACCCGACCTTCAATGAAGACAAATTAGCAACTGTTGCAAAACCAGAAAAAAGGTAAGGAGTTAATTATTGCACAGCATGTACTGAGATCTGTTTCTCTGCCCACTAATTAACACAGAAACAAACACAGCAAGTGGTTTAGACTTTATGCTGGAAGTATATGTCGCTGACTTTTTTCTTTATACAAGCAGAGGAAAACAAATGTTATGCTTGCTCGTTAACAATAGGAATGTCAGCAGCAAACAGATTGTACAATTCTATGTGGCAATTTGAACTAATAGATGTTGAGTTTGAGCCAAAATAAACTTTAAAATTCTGCCTCTTTGGGCTCAGTGTGCTGCTGAACCAGAAGGTTATGAAGAGATATATACATGACACTGTGAACCCTTAGAATCTGCAGAGAATTTGCCATGCTTATGTATTTTCCTCCCATTAAAAAAAAATCTGAAAAAAGTTTAAATTGATTCAGACCTGTTGATACAGCATGTAAACCAAATGAGCCTTTTGTTCATTAAGGAATTCATTCTGTACACAAAATTAAATGCATAATTATGATTACATTAGTATAGCAAAACAAAAACAATAACTTGACAAAAACAATAGGGATTAAAGGGGAATTCCACTTATTTGTCTTTTTTTCATAAACAAAGTAATTCAGAGTGGTTTATATATATATATGTGTGTGTGTGTGTGTGTGTGTGTGTGTGTGTGTGCGTGTGTTTGTATCGCTGCTGTCGGAAGAAAACCCTTTAGTTGTTTTTCAGTTTTTGACATAATTTTAAAATCGCTGTTGCTCTTTACATTGTGTGTAAATTTCATTAAGAATGGACCAAATAAAACGGCCCAGAATGACTTGGAAAAAGTCTGGTTCCATTGACTTACATTAAAAGTATGTTTTTTGCTTCTCCTGTAAAGTTATCATTTTGGAGATCTGTGGAATTCCTCTTCAAATATGCAGACATGGGGACAGACTATTAAAACCTTTTATTTCTTGACTCTACAAATAGGTGTAACATTGGAAATAACCAACAACCTCTGTGGAATACCTCTGAGAATTCCATATGCACTCGGCAGCACCTGTCCAATCAGGAGGGGCAGCAGAACGACTTGGAGTGTTTACAGTGCAAAGAGCTCCCTCCCCCGCAAGTGAAAAGACAGCTTCCCCTACAGGCCACCTCCAACGGGAAAACAGACTTGCTGGGCCTGGCACGCAACCCCATCGTGCAGGAGCTGACGGACTTGGAGTCACAGATCCAGATCATCAAACAGCAGCTGCAGCTAGCCATGAAGAAAAAAAAGGAACTGGAGCAGTATCAGCAAACAAAAATGGCAAGTGAGCCCTAGAGCTTTTGGAGCTCTTTTTGTGGCTCGACTCTTGTGCACTTGCAGCATTCAAACACTCGGACCTAATGGTGGATTAATTCAATTCTGCTTCCTAAGGGGCAAGGCTGTCTCAGTGTTCCTCTGCACATGTGTTTTTAAAAAAAAAGCAGTGTTATTTTTCTCTATTTATTTACTTTGACTATCACACTGGACCAACTGCTCCAATGTGAAAAAGGATGCTGATGAGAGACAAAAGGATCAAGAAATTTGGATACAGCAAGCATTTTCCTAGAGCTTTGCTTTCACTGGTACTGTAGCGTATGTTTGTGTGGGACTGCTCTGAAGACAGTTTGACTGTCCAAGGGGAAAGCGTTCTGTGTATCAAAGCGACAGCCATTTATTTAAGGTGTCAAAGTGTGATGTATGGTAGCCCCTCCTGCATATTGATATAAAGCGCTAAACCGTTTTACAGAGGAAAGCATGATTGCTGTCACTTGGTTTGCAATGGGGGAGTCTCAACTGTGAACTGTTAAAGGGTTTACAGTCAATTAAAAAGAAGCTTTGACATACCTTTACATTTGAGATGGTGAAAGCCCATCATTCATTTACACTGAAATTGGTTTGGTGGATTTATGGTACTCAATTTTTTCTGCGAAGAAACAAACCTCATTTACAAACCTCATAACAAAGGGTGGATAAATATTTCAGTACCTGATTTTAAGGCAACGTTTGCATCACAGTGGTCTAACAGTCCCACCTCATCTCAAGCTTTGTGCTGCTTCAGCACATGTGTATAGACTGTATGCATCTTAATCCCTGTGGATATGCAGGCTTCAGAGCAAACCCTTCATATTCAGTGTGGTATAATGAGCCAAGCTTGAAGGCAGAGCATGAGCAGTAAAAACTCCTTCAAGTACTATAACCAGTAAGATCATACTTTGACAGAATAGTGCTTGTTCTACAAACAACAGTGAAACCCTTCGTTATAGTATTCAAACTGAATCTCCTACACAGGTTTCCAAGGTAGATGTTTCATTTTCATAACTCAAACTCTCACAATGCTAAAAAGGACAGTTTGCAATCCGACTAAGTTTCAAAATCAGCAGCCATTTGGCAAAACTATCAATACTGAAGTGTACGAAACAAGACTGTACTTTGTGTAACTGACCTTGGCCTATCCATGTTCTATCCATAAATGCATTCTTTCATAGCAATAGTTGCAAGGCTGGACAAGCTCTATAGAATGTTGGCAAAAATTCTGTTCAACCTAAAGAAAGCGCATAAAAGACACATACTCAGTAATAAAGTATAACTCAAATTTCAATACAGTTGTTTTCAGGGACACTTTAAAGTACTGTCACTGTACTTTAGTGTAACAATTTGTAGTTTCATCAGAGATTTTTTTTTACATACACAGAACAGCTTGGGTTCCTTAAGGTCCAACTACACTATTATATTTGTGATTCTTGCATTTCTTTTTTAAAATCTGTCTTTGTGTAAAAGTATTTTTTATCAACCAGTAGTTTTAAAATATTTGTTATAAATAAATCTAGGCATATGGCGATAGGTGAAATATTAGGCTATTTTAATCATTTAACATCTGTAATTTCTTGAAACACTTCTTATTTTTTAAAGAAAAAAGTATCACAGTAATAGGTCGATGAGTAACACATACAAACTTAGACTTTCACAAAGACTTTCAAATAAAATTGTACTTATGTCCATGTACCATTAGTCAGTGTAAAGGAAAAAAACACACATAACGTTGTCTCCTTTTTATGCGCACAAGAAGACTTTTAAAAGACTTTCAAAACTCAGCAAGTGGTGCAACTGGAATAATTTAGGTGTTTTGGCCAAAGTTGAAAAGCTTGTCCAAACCAGCAAACAGTAGCTGTGAAAGAATGTGGCGCACAGACTGGTCAGATTGATTAGACTATTGGTGTTTTGTACTGTTCCATACTTGATCTCCTACCTCTAGTCCTGCAGAGTTTCTTGTTTCTGCATCTCTAACATGTCTCTAGGACTTAATCATTAGCTAATGATGGGACTCAGGTGCAGAAAAACATGAACCTGCGCAGAGCTGAAAAACACTGGCGTAGCTGAAACTGTGTGAAACAGGGTTTGTGTTTATTGCTGAGCAGTTTGTGCTCATTAGTAAGCCTGCAAGGCCTTGAAATAGAGGACTGCAAAAGGACACGCAGCCCATTAGGCCTTTAGCTCATAGGCTCTTGTGACACATAAAAAGCCTTTCAAAACGCTGCACAGCACGGCAAGCAGAAGCACACAAAGGCATAAAAATCGTATCCACAGCTAACAAGACGCCCTTTCAAGCAGAAGCATTTGAGTTCAGTTCATCAGGTGACCAAACTCACTCTCTGGAAGTGACCACAGAGAAATGTCTATGTCACAAATCACTTTTAACACCGCAATACTCAGACTCAGAGGCAAACTGGAGAAACCTTTAGTGAAATGCCAAACATCCATCTAATGTTAGCATTAGCTGGCTTACTGCTTGCAGACCACACTGTGTTAAGAAATAATCCAGAACACTGATTCTGTTTTTTGAACCCTCAGGTAAGAAAACACTGCATCTTACTTGCCACATCAGGAACCTCCCTTTTGAAATAGATATGGAAATAGTTGTGGAATTCATTAAATTCAAGTTGATTAGGATTTAGGAAAAGACAAAATTTAATTTTGTGCTGAATCATTCAGATCAATGGGCCTCATTCACCAAACAGTCTTAAGAAGAAATTTCTTCGTTACGTCTGCAAACACAGTTTTCACAAAGATTCTGACATTCACCAGTGTTTTCTTATTTTGGATTTGTTCTTAGGTAAGAATAGAATCTACACACACTCAAGAGCACAAGGGTGTGAACAGTTCTGCAGTTCAAGAGCTCATCATGAATCTGACAGACTTTTTCTTAGGACATTTCCCAAGAACAAATATAACAAAAAGCTTATGAAGATGGTGAATGAAGCCCAATGTAAGTTGGCACTGTGTCTCACCTTTGAAGGTGCTTTCATCTAACAGACTGCCTTTTTTTAGAATAAACTAACCAAATATCTAATCCAAAGTTTCTGTTAAAGAGGAATTCCACAAATTTTTCAATGTTCAATGTTTAATGTAAACAGTAATTCAGTGATTTGATGTAAAATGGTTCAATTTGTAGAGAAACTTATTCTGATTTCTTTACAGTGGTGGTGATAAGAACCAGAGGTCACCATGTCTACAGTGCAAATAAAGCCAGTTTATTTACTATTCAAAACCACCGGTGAGCCAACACAAGCCTTTTGAGTTTTTATATGTAATGTTGATGAAGGTAAAATATTGGGAAATCTGAAAAAATAAGTTTTCTTTAGGGAGTATTTTGCCTTAAAACACCCTTCTTGTATTCTTCCACTAAGAGCTCAAATAAAATAAATTATTAAAATACATTTTAGACAAACACAATCACGGAACGACCATAAAAGGTGTTAAAACTCTTCAGACGTCTGGTTCCTGTCACTACCACTGTGAATATTTATGACTCAAACTTCTCTAGAACAAAGCATTTTACACCAAGCCACTTAGTGATTTATTGACACATTAACTATTTAATTGGGCAGAAATTTTGAAAAATTGGTGGGGTTTCCCTGCAAAATCCAATAATGGTGGAGGTGTACTTGCAGGGCATTGTAAGGCCAAACAAAATATATTTAAGATTTCCTACTATTTTACCATTATTACACTTGAAAACATAAGACACATCTAGGTTCACTAGTAATTCTGGGTAGTAAATCAAAGGGCAACGTTTGCACGGTTGCATTGTTGATACTGTGGCCTTCAGTTTCTGTCACCACCACTGAAAAGAAAATCAGTGTTGGCTACGTTTCTCTATGATTAATTCAATAATTTCACATGTTTTTGTTGTTTACATCTCATCCCTGTAAATGAATGCAGATATTTTGAAAAGAAGGGTGGAATTGTTATGAATGAGAGCCTCACCAGGTGCAGGAGTTCAGCTACAGACTATTTATTTGACAGACAAATCAAAAATATATGCAGCATTTCAAATGAAATGCAAACCTCAAAGAAAAACGATATACAGTTCAGAAATAATGGAACAGTTTGTCAAACAGTTCTGTGTACTTTCATGCTGAGTTAATGGCAATTCAAAGATGCCATTGGAAAAAAAAAAAATCTATGTGCCACAATTCAATGTGTATTCATTTATCTTACATCAAAAAATAGGAATACCAAAAACATTCCTGGAAAAACAGCAGGCAAAGTTGATCAAAATGTTTTATACAGATAACAAAAATAATACAAAAACATGATCTTTGTCCAAAAATTTACAGGAAAGAAAAATCAGAATAAAATAATCCTTTATACAAATACCACATAACAACATCGATATTTCAGTAACATCATATAGAGACTGTATTTTACTGTGTGATGTAAAACATGACGAGGAAGGCCGAACTCCTGACATGTAAACGATCGGAGATAACAGAAGGGTAAGCTACAGCACTGTCTTTTACAAAATGTACAAAACATCTGCCTCTAACTGGGAACAACATAATACTTTTATTTCTTTTTTTTACATTATGCGACAGTACAAAAACATCTTGTGCCTAGAAGTGTTGAGGTGAAGCGAAGGTGACTCTGTGCTGGCCCCTTAGTCAAGTGACTTCGGTCATTGACGCCGAATGGTTCTGAAAGGCAGAAGAGATTGGGTTCAGAGTGATGCGCATCAAGGCTGCTGTTTCTTTCAGAGGGAAACATCTCTCTAAACAGATGCTGCCCCAACTCTGATTATACTTCAATCAAGACCAAACAAAAAGAGGCCAAATGCAGAGAATTGGGAGAGCTGAGGAGCGAGATGTCAACCCATTTCCTCCTGAATCAACCACTTCGCCCCTCTTGCTCATCCTAATAAAAACTTTTGACGGGATGCTTGATCCCCATCCCGCTTACCACATGCGTTGAGTTTCATTGTTTAGGGCATTGTCCTTAACAACCCATCCCAAACGGCAACGGACTGATGAGTTTGTGTCTTTCACATTTGTCAAAATTGCGAGGCGAATTTCTCCGGCCCACTCTGGAGCAGAGCCTGTTGAAGCAGAAGGGCTGTTTTCGCTGGCTCAATGTCAACAGAGCTGTCTGGCTAGATTTTCCCTACTGCACAAGATGTCAAAATCAATTTGGAAAAGAACCATTGTATTTCCCTGCTGTATATGATAAAAACGCAGGCACCCCCTCCGCCCAGCTTTAAGAGGAATAAATGGCAACCTGCTGGTGCTCTAGCAGATGGAACCTTGGTGCAATTGCAGCGCATCACTGACAGCTTTAGGGCAAAGTGACTATTACAGGCATAGCATGAAATTTCAGTAAAGGTTACGAAATTAAAAGCAAAACTCAAGGCAATTCAGGGAAATGAACTGAAATATATCCATTCAGACTAAATATAATAGCTCCTGCATAAATATGATAGGAGCACAACATGTGGTGGAAACAGTAAATGTGAAGGAAGTTTCCAAATACCTTCAAGGCGGAGCCTTTCACAACACGACATATGACAAATAGTCTCTTTAAAGTATAAGCAGCCCATATCCACCCACCACATGCCACGCTATGAACCTGAACCCCGTTTTGGACATCACGATACACGTCTAAGAGATCACTTTGATACATGATTCATCCACACAGACAACCTTGATAGACCATTATTAGAGTATGAGCCATATATCATTATGAGAACATGTGTACACTCTTAAAAGTAAAGCAAAGCCACAGAAAAGAATCCCTAAAGAACCTTTCAGTAGATGGTTCTTTACAGATTCATTTCTGTAAACAAAGATTGGAGAGTGTGAAGAAAGTTCTATACCCAATAAAGATTCTTTGTAGAACCAGTGCTGTGTGAGAGTCAGAGACCACCCTTGGTTTTTTAATTTCCAGTCAAGTACGTTATTGACGATACATTTCTAAGTAGATATTTCTGAGGAGATAAGGGAAAATAAGTAGTGGAGAAACTGGGACTCCTGACAGCTAAACCTGGTAGACCACCAAAACTGTCCTCATCAACTGAACAGCATTTAAAGCTTTGATCTTTGAGAGAGAGGAGAAAATCGAGCTGCACTCTTGCTTCAGATCTTGAAAAATCCACGTGTTTCTGTCCATCCTTCCACTGTGAGAGGACACTCAACACCAGGAGTCTGAAAAGATGTGTAGCTGTCAAGAAGCTCTTACGGAGCAAAAAGAAAGAAAAAAAAACAATTTGGAAAATCAAAGAAATGCTGGCATTCTCCGAACAATGGACTGACCACCCCAAGTCCAGACCTCACTGAATGTGTTACTTGGATTGTGAGAAACAGAAAAGGCAACCAACTTTTAACTTTGAAGGTGTGGAAAAATATCCCTGTAGATTTCTCTGAAAAATTGAAAGCAAGTCTCCTGAAAAGAATGGAAGCTGTAATAAAACACTTAATACTAAACAGTATGATATCTAGTTGTTAAGGCTTCTGTGTAAATTTTAAAACGTTTCTTTCCCTGATGCTGACAAAACGAGTGACTTGTACATACAGGCCGTTTTGACTGGACTTTAATGATTTAATCAATAAAAGCTTTCTGATTTTTGCACAATACTGTATGTGTAGACATTTAGGAACCTTTTTAGGAACCTTTGTTTTTAAGAGCGTAGGTGAATGTGCTGATGAATCTACCTGTGCACTGAGGGTCTCGAGAGGGCTCTCCACACGAGGAAACGTCATCAGCGGGAGGCCACGGTAATCCTCCGTCTTCTGTTTGGCAGGAGTCGAGTGAGCCCCTTTGAAGTTGTTCACCACACACAGACCCTGTATAGCAGAAGACACATCAAGCCAATAAAGTGATTTGGTAAACGCTAAGCTCCAGACAAGTACTGAACACAGGGCTATGAGGAGTGGGGTTGGTTTATGTACTGGAACTAAGGACACTGTGGCAGTACCTGACAACCAGCAACAGAGAAACTACTCCTCAGTACTGACTTATGTAAACAGAAAAAGACGCAAGCTAAAAGTTAATATGCCTCCCTACAAAAACATTATCTTTTACTCTGAAAAGTAATGATATATATATATATATATATATATATATATATATATATATATATATATATATATATATCGCTGTTGTCGGAAAAAAACCTTGTATCTCCAAAATGGTAATTTTACAGGAAAAGGAAAAAAACCTACTTTACTTTTAATGTAAGTCAAGGGAACCAGACTTTTTTTTCATGATATTTACACACAATGTAAAGAGCAACAAGCATTTTCAAATTATGTCAAAGACTGAAAAACGACAAAAAAGGAGATATGAGGTTTTCTTCTGACAACAGCGATATACAGCTGTATACTGATTCAAAAAGAAAGCAAAAAAGTACAAGCTAAAGATCCACAATGTAATGTAATGCAGTAAACATTACTGGGAACACCAGTAGCTTCTTTGATTGATTTACAAAATTTCTTATTTTTTGTGCTTTTCTCAGTTTTCTCACTTCTTGACAGCCATAGAGTTTATCTGACTTCTCCCAGTGGAAGGACAGACAAAAAACCTGTGGATTTCATCAGATCTGAAGTAAGAGTGAAGCTGGATTTCCTCCTCTCTCTAAAAGATGAAAGTATCTGATGATCATCATTGTGGTCGTCTACTAGGTCTTCTATAGCTGTTAGGAGTCCTGTTTTCTTTGTTTTGTTTTTTTTAATCCAGTTTTGGAAATTAGATATTAATTTCCTCAAAAACGTCTCTTGAAAAAATGAATAACTTGTAGTTAATGGTTGTTTTGACTGGCAATTAAAGAGTGGTCTCTGACTTGAAGTGCTATAATTATAGATCACTGCTACTGGTCCAATCATCATGACATGGTCACATAATATAAAGAGCAACTGCTGTTTTAAAATGATGTACAAAAAAAACAAAACAAAAAAATAAATTCAATTTGCTCTGAAAAATTTCAAAAAAAGTAATTAAGCTGACCAGAAAGAGAGCCACAGAGCTTCCCAGGATGAAGCCGGCGATGACGTCTGAGCAGTGGTTGCGGTATTCCGACACACGGTTGAGGCCGGTGAGGAAAGCTGCACACAGGGTCCCCAAACACAGCACGGGCTTAGCCAGGCGGCTGCTCTTCGTCTTGATGGTGCTCGTGATGTACATCTGAAAAGAGGCAAGCGGGCATAGGCACATACACAAACAAAAACACAGACACACACCACAGAAAGAGGCAGGATGATTTATTTCACACAGAGAGCGATGCCCGCCAGGTGACCGAAGAAAGGGGCTTAAGTAAATACACACAGCTTGGAACAACCTTGAGGAGATTAAGGCCAATTATGGAGGAAGTGATGGGAGTAAATAACAAAACTTAAGTTGCTCAAGGAGACCAGGCTGCACCGAGGCTCGCCACAGCACTTTAATCCAAGGACATTTTGCAGACTCACTTATTCTTTGAACATGCTGATGCGGAGCTGGTGAATTAACATGACTGGGGTTGCCTCGGCTATTTCCAGAACTGGCTCATCTGTAAAATGGAATATGCCCAATACTGTGACGGCAGCTTACACACACCCAGAAGTGCTAATCCATCGGACCCCCCAAACCTCACACACCCACTCTTCACTGTAAACAACTGTGAACCACATTGATGTAAACCACATATATTGATTTAATCCATTCCATTCTATCCTATCATTACATTTTCTGTCCGACAAGGTCATTCAACCCTTCAAAGTCTGATGTTATTACTGTCTTTTTGCTACTATATTTAAATGCAGGCACACAATAAATGACAGTTCCATAATTAATTAGATTTATTTTTGATTTAGTTTGTGGACAGGTTTGAGTCGTTAAGCTCATTTTTTTCTTTTTAAAATGTTTTGTAATGTAGGACCCCTTCCCCAAGTGGATGAGTCTGATGACTGCGTGTTGAAAGAGTATTCAAAGATGCAGTCAAAACCCTGTGAAGGACATGTCTTCAGAGGATGAAAGTGAATTATCTACTACCTTCATCAATATAATGTTTACTTTGCATTTAAGACCTAAACATTAAGCCGGACCTTTTTTTTTAGCCTGTGTGTTAATATGCCAATAGTATGACGTGGTCCAAAAACTCCCACGAAATCCAACTCGATGACTTAAAGCATTTTTACACTCGAATTGTTTTCCAGACCCAGGACCACTTACTCTGCAAGTGTAGTACATTTGGTTAAGTGCAGAATTCTTGTGTGTGAAACTAATGAGCTCCTCCCACAAACAAGCCCAGAATCGATCCTGGGTGTGGACCCAAGTATTTGATGAGTCCAAGTTCATTCATACAGAACATACATTCAATGTTTCAATGAGCTACACACAAGGGTTAACAGACACCTGACAGCTGATACGGCCCCTTTCACTTGTCATTTCTTCATATGGAATTCCAAAAGGCATGCCTTTCTGTACTATGAACAGTGTTTTTGAAATCGGAGAAAAGTTTTAACCTTGTCCATGTGACTAAACAGTAATATAGTAAAATTTGAAGATATCACCAATCCGACTGGATTTCAGGAAAAAAAAGGAATGAATCTGATCCAACCCTGTAACAAATCTCTCCGGAAGCATCCCTGCTTACACTGTGTGATGTCATGTTGTTAGCTGTGAATTTTCTCCTGTGGGGCAGTAGTCATGCAGGGCCAGATGGGGTCTTTGAACAATAATAAACATCTGGGGACAACTTGCTAAGCTTCTGGTGCTGGACAGCTGCAAAATCCACCGCTAACGAGGGTACACCCTCTCTAAAATCCAAATCTGAAATTCCTCTAGTCCACGTTCTTTTATTTATTTATTTTTTTACTTACTTCTATTTTTCCATTGCAAGAGGTAATATTTATTTTTGCCACATAAAATGTGTTCTCCACAGGCTCTTCAGGCTTATCTGGGATTCTTTGGGGGGCATTTCTATCATGCTAATTTATGTTGCATAAATTCTGAACTTGGCTGATTCCAATCATGCACCCCTAAATGAAACCCATCCACAAGTGAAAGAAAGTAACATTACTTCTTTCTGTTAAAAAGAAGAAGAAAAAAAAGAAAATTCTGTGTAGATTCTTACAGTGACATAGACCGCAGAGTAGACACTGAGTGACGCGTCTTTGGAAGGGAAGGACCTCCTGGCTCTCTCCACCACCACCTGGTTCCCTGTGCAGATGTTGCCATGGGAGATGAACTGGTGGTTGAAGCGGCATTCCATGCCTGTGTAATTTGGCTTGCAGACGGTGAGGAAGTAGGGCGCCAGATTGCCCGTCACCACCTGACCGGCATTCACGAAGATGTCTGTCGCAAACAGACCAAACGCGAAGACACCTACAGTGGGACATGCCAACACGTTTCAATTCGGCTCACTGCTCCCAATCAGGGCACAGACAACACAGGCAATCTGATCAGAGATTCTAGGAAGCACAGACACGAATGCAGCTTTGGCAGAACATCTTTTTCACATTTCCAGATTCAACAGACAATATAATTAGCATGTCCTACTGTGCAGATAAACCAAATGTAGCAGAATTCTGGTATTTATATATTCATGTACACAAATCAAATATGGACTTCCCAAACTACTTTAGAAGAGGTTTGCTCCTTTCCCCAATTCATTATTGCCATCTTGTGATGTACACAGTGATACTATCTGACCTGCTTCAGCATGAAATTGCACATCGTTGAAAGAAATGTGTTATAATTCATGGAGCCTCTCGTTGTTTGAAAGGTGCCCATGAGCAATGAGCTTGACAAGAGAAAACTACCACCACCAGAGACAGGGAGAGAGAAAGAGAGAGCAAGAGACACAGACTGAGAAAGAGACAAAAGAAAGAAGAAATGCTTGCCTGTTCTGAGTGTTGGAGATTGTCTACGAGCTCAGAGTGAAAAGTATTCAATACAATGGCCCATATCATTGCAATACCAGGCCTCAAAGGACACCATTACTGGAGTCTCTCCTGAATTATGCATCGGGGTCAAGTAATGCTGTAGGAGTTAGCGCTCTTCACAGCAGACCTGAGATGGATTTCAGAGGTGAAAGTACACTGAAAACTCACCATCAATATTCGGGACATAAAAGACCGAAAGAGAGGAAAAAAACTGACTGATATGGAAAACTTTATTATTATAAACTAATAATGGACCCAAGTATTTATTAATAATAATAATAATAATAATAATAATAATAATTATAATTATTATTATTATTATTATTATTATTATTATTATTTATAATATATATTATTACTATTATTATTTCTACTATATATTGATTGCTATATGTCATAAAATTAATCTGGATACTCTGGAAACTCCAGTTTGTTTGTTTGTTGTGGTTTTGTTGCTTCATTAGTAAACATATGAACAGCCAGGGGTGCACCAGAATTCATTTTTGCATGCATGCTGTATACCTACTTCAAAAACCCTCCCTGAACTTATCAGTCCAGCTCCATGTTAAAAATCAGAACAGAACGGAAGGTCGTTGCTTCTCGCATCTTTCACCTCAAGCTGTTTGGAAATCCTGTGCTAGAGCTTGGATTAAAAAGATATGGTGCTCGTAAAATGAACTCTAAACCAAAAAAAAAGACTCACCGATAAACCTGATGATCCTGCGAATGAGTGGATTCAGGTAGCAGCATTCCCCAGTAACAATGGTCTTCTCTTGGGCAATGAGGGCCTCTCTAGTAGACTTCATTACGTACATGGAGATCTCCCCAATAAAGACCTATGTAATATCAAAAACAATGATATACCAAATTGCATAGGCAAAAATAAACGCACCTGAACAGACACACAGAATTTTCAGTTTATTAGGTACACCTACCTTGAACCTACACTCATCAGCCACTTTATCAGAAAAACCTATCATCCAAGTGCACTTTGTAGGACCACCCTAGGAGCACCACTGACCACGTGTTATTGGGGTGGTGGACCATTCTCACCACAGCAATGACATGGACATGGTAGTGGGTTTTGTAAACACTGTACACTTGCAGGCTGCTATTAGACACGCCTACCTTATTGGCACATCTTTCTTGTGTACAGTTAAAGACTGTGTTCATAGCAGTGAAATTCATGAGCACTGAAAAAGGTAAGAAGTTTAGAAACCAATTAACTGTAGTGAGGTCCAGTGGCATCACTGTGAGAAGAACATTTTAGTGATTTTAACAATTTTCAGGACAATACAAAGAGACTACAGTACAAGGAGAATTGCTGTGGGATTATTTAGTTAAGTGAGTCCCACAATTATGTAAATACAAGTCAATTTTTTTGTACAAAATTTGGCAGGTATTTCTTGATACCTCACATATATTATAAACAGAGGTCAAATTTCCTGTAACTTGTGTTCTGTGTACTGGCTCCAAAATGGCAGGTCATGCTTGGACTCCAATTTCAGATGGTCTCGATGCACTTACAGCAGTCTCTTTTTAACTTCTTGGTAACATTAGATATGTAAGTTCTGACTGGCTGATAAAAATTAAAATACTATGTGGGTCGGCCGAATAATGACCGAGAACTCCTCCTGTGCTGTGGGGCAAAGGAGGGATTCTCCTTCAGAATTTTTTGCAGGAATGAATAATATCCATAGGTAATATGAAAATTTACCTATTAAACTACTCAGTGTACATTCTTAATGTTTTCTCTTTAGCCTGCTTTGAGTTGATTCAAATGCTAGATGTGCCAGTAGTGCAAGTATAAAATACGAATAGCTGATTAAACAGAACATTTCCCACGTCGGCGGCGGAAAAAAACACAATCTCTCACTGAATAACAGTTTACTTAACACATCAACTGAAATGCAACCGTTACTCAGCATCTAGTGAAAAGCTGGGTTTTTATGGCCATCCCAGGGACCATGAAGGGAGGAAAAAGGCTACCACGTAAGTGCATTTTATGCCAGAGGGATGGCAACAGTGCTGTTTTTTACTCCACTAGCTAAGATTTTCTCTCCGCAGTGTCTGTCCAGCTTTAATGCATTTCCTTACTCCAGAGGGCAGAGCATTGTGCTCCTGTTAAAAGCTTGTTTTATCAGCTCTGCTAGGCTTACAGCAGTAAAATAGGACTGTCAATATCTCATGATTTTATTTTTTGTGACCAAAATGACAGTAACCCTCAGCTCACCAAATAGCGCAGATGGCTATTCAATTTAACCTTTCAGCCATGAAGTTATGGTCACCATTGTGTAGACAATGTGATCTTGTAATTATACCACAATATTTTCTTATTTGTTAATAAAACTGCTGCTTATTTGCCTGAGGGAATCACTGCTAAGACAAGGCAAATAGCTTTATATACATCGACTGGCCACTTCATTAAGAACAGGAGCAGGTATTATTTAGATGGTGGATTATTCTCAGCACTGCAGTGACACTGACGTGGTGGTACTGTGTTAGTGTGTGTTGTGCTGGTATGAGTTAATCAGACACAGCAATGCTGAAGTTTTTTGTGGGCGGAATCCTTTGACCACTGATGAAGGAAGGACTAAAGAGGACGACTTACACAAACTGTGCAACAACAGATGAGCTACTGTCTCTTTGAGCTGCTGTACTTTACTTTTAGGTGGACCAACAATGTAGGTACATCTAACAGAGCAGACAGTGACTGGATACAGTGTTTAAAACCTCCAGCAACATGGCTATGTCTGAAGTGGCTGGTCAGTGTACACACACACACACACACACACACACACACACACACACACACACACATACACATACATATATATATATATATATATATATATATATATATATATATATATATATATATATATATATATATCAGACTTCATGTCAAATACATTAAAACACTTAAAAATGACAGAGGATGAAAACTAACTGACTTACAAGACAAGCTTTAGTCCTTATTCTTTATTTCTTTCAATCCATTTTCATTAAAACTGCTACTTAAAAAGAGCAATCTTAATATTACATGACCCAGCATTATATGATGCAAAGAACTGTAACTATGCCTTCTTACACCCTTAAAAGAGCTGAAAGAGCTTTTGACTAAAATCCTAAGAGAGACAGATAAGTGGGCACTATCTTTCTACTGATCATATTCGAGACCATATGGGGGGAATGTGCTGTCATCGCTCATTAGTGCTAGGTGCTTTATGGCCTATATGGGTCGCAAGACGCCATGGGTCACTGTGTGGCGCATAAAATACTGTACGGATTGCTCCAATGCCAAGCCACCCAATTTAATTTTCCATTCATTTAGTTCAGCTCGTTCCTTGATTCATAAAGGCACTAAAGCAAGGTTAAAGTGTAAGTCATCATTGCCCTTTTGGCCAAAAAGCAAAACCACCACGTGACACTGCAGATTGCCTTTTAGTCCAAAGCTCCTCTCATGTTCAGAACAGTATTGTTTCATTCTTTGAACTGCAAAGACTGAAGACACGGTGCCCTCTTGTGTTCAAGTCCGGTATACAAGGGAGGACATGTGCCTGAAGGATTCTAAGAGTGGCCAAGGTAAACCAAATCTTTTTTTCATTCTAACCTCACAGTCAAAAATACAAAATAATGGTGCCAAAAAAGGTCCTCTGGAGCAGTTCCACAGAAGAATGACTTTTCAATGAACCTTTCAATAGAGAGTTTTTTTTTGTTTTTTTAAAGAGAGAACCATCCCCCGAAAGGTTCTTCAGGCCACCACAAGTAGTTCTATGGCATCACTCCAAAGAACTCTGTTTAAGCACCTTATTTTTTAAGAGCATAACAGCCCTCGGTCAAGCTTAAGTTGCACTCAGGATGCTCCAGGCTCAACTGCACACTATTTTGACTTGTTTATTAAGTCATTAAGTCATTAAATGAAATGCCTAAAGTCAAGAATTCTATTCCAGAAGTTTTACTCACAACAGCAGTGGGAACTGCAGCCACCACGCAATAAAGCACAAGTGGAGGGATGAAGCTGTTCTCTTCAGCCCCAGGATACGGCTTCATCAGGTCAGCATCGTTGCAGAAGAAGCCCTGGATGTGGATCCCGAAGGTGTCGGTGCACTCAAAGTAGTAAGCCAGCAGCACCGTGCCAGCCATGATAACCAACTGTAAGAGAAATACAGCCTCTAATATTCATCATCTACACATTATCATAATAAACATCATTGCTGATGTAAAAACCTTGTATCTCTTAAATGGTAACTTTATAGGAGGAAGAAAAACCCGTCCTAACTTTTATTGTGACGCAACTTGCAAGTGTAACAATAAAAAAAATACATAAAAATTGGTTACAAAGATTTTTATATGCCTGTGACAATATATGTTTTCAGTATCTGATTTTCCTTCGAACGTCAGACAATTTGGACACATCCACAGTAATTCACCAAACTCAAAACAAACACAGTCACGACCACCTCCATCTGCTTTTTCATTTTTTTTTTCCACTGTCAAACTCATTCTCTCACTCCTTCACCCTCACCTCCCCCCACTCTCTCTCTCTAAAACACTGCTTCAAGGCTTACATAAACCCTTTCTCTGTGCTCCGCTAATGAACGGCTCCTGTAGAAAGGGCCACAGGCATGCTTTTTTTTAAAAAGTAATATGTTATATAACGGCTCACAATGTGGAGAAACAGGGCTGCTCTACTTCATGGCTGATTAATGACACTGTACGCATTTTCCAGGCAGGAAAAGAACATGCCTTCATTTTGGACCTCATGGCAAATAGATGAGACACATTTAATACTTTCATGAGTGAGACCGCGGAAAATGTTTCTGCAGAGTTGATGCACCCTGCTACCCGTAAAAAATAAATACGGTGTATGGCAATGAAACAGAACAGCCTGAGATACAGTGCATTTTATCTCTAATGTTGAAAGAAAAGAAATCTCTTATCACCTTCCTCACTATTTTTTTCTTTTTTTGAAACAGAAGTTGAAAGCAGACACATTTAAATCATCTGAACAGTTCAGAACTGGGGCAGATTTGGACTTGGACTGAATTTGACGTGCCACTATCAACAGGGAACACCATTAAAAATTACTTTTGGTCCCTCAGATGTCTGCGCCCAGAACAAATCAGCACTAAACACACTGAAGACCCGTGGACAGGATAAAATAAAGGTGAGCAATGGGGCAAAAAATTAACACCATAATAGTCGCCTGAAAATATTGTTCACCCAAAAGTTGAACAAGTAAAGGGCTGACATGTAATCAGCTATTAGTTACTATGCAGTTTAAGCACTTATTATGCATTAGTTGTTGTTTTCAGGCCTTATTAAACATGCAGAGGCTCAAAGTTCCAGAACTACTGACAATACCCACAAAATATGTACTCCAACATATTTTATCATGATAATGATGATGTCATCACACTGCCCATCTCTAGTACAACACTCCACTTGTTTTCTCTTATTGAAACTTGTACATGGGATCGAATGACGCTTTGTGCATTTATTAGTGGTATCAAGGCTATCAAGATAATAATGCATTAAGGTAACAAATTACTAACAGCACTCATTTTTAACTCTGTTAATGCATTTTCCTAGTTTGACCCTTGAAACCACCCATAGGTCCAGCTTGAAATCTTGCTACTTGTGCGCTGTTGTTATGATGCTGTGGCTGTAGATGGGCTTGGCATACACATCTTGACAGTAAGTGCATTTGTGCTTGTAAAGGTGTCACAAGTCATTAGAATTACTGCTCTAAATAAACAAACAGTAGTTTTCTTGTGACCTAGTCAAACAAAGTTTGGTTCCAGATTTCCCAGCCAAAACAAACACTGTTGCAGTGCCATTCACCTTAAGTGTAAACAATACTGGTCTTAAAGAATCTCTCTTGTTACAGGAAAAATGCCAATTACTATACTGGCCAACAAGCATTTGGATCGATTCCTGACACCGCTGAGCAGCGGTCAACAGGTCAGACGTTTCTTCTACGAGGCAGTTTACAGCACTTCTAGTGAAGAGAACATCACAGGAGGCTGAATTCAGCTTCCTGCTTACTCGCACTTCTCATAGAACTAAATTACAAAGTTGTCAAAACGAAACAGCAAAAAAATAGTTTTCTTAATGCACAGAGGTATTAGATCTCCAACATCTGTCTGGCTCATTAGAACTGCATGGTGCATATCTGCTTTTTCCACTGGACTGTTTGTTGAACAGCTTACTACCTGTTTACAACTAGCCATAGACACCAACATAAACAGGCCAACCACACATCTTTCGACAAGATAAGAAAACCAAGTAAATTGCCATCCACTAATACAGCACTTTGTGTTGAAAGGGGCGGAAAACCTCAAGCCTTTGCCAAGACAAAATATAATTTCATCAATGCAATTTATTTTATGAATTTAATTTAGAAGTTTCACATGGTACAGGCTGAGCTTTGCCTCTATTACTAAGGCTGCACAAAATGTAGAAAATGCCATACTGCTATAACATTGCTCCATATTGCAATTACGATATGAATTATATGAACTGCACTATACTAAAAACACACTGGTGAACCCTTGATATGCCATGTAATATTCTGACCAAACTGGTATACATCTATTGGACTGCATGAGTGCCTTGATTTGTCAAAACACAGATATTAAAACACCTGAGCTGGGCCATGGTGACCCAACAGCAAACTCTCAAACTCTCAAATTCTCAAATAGCAGAGTGTTATTATAGCAAAAAGCCAACACTGCAATAACATACTAAAAATGACCTGTTCAGTTTAAATGTAACTTTAAATGTAATTAAATTGGATTAGTATAGCCCTTTATACATTAAATACGATGCAGCTCTGAGTGTTGGGTACGAAAGCGTGAGTTTGAAGTACTCTCTGTGGTCATGTCAGGTGAATCCACCTCGTATAACGGTCATTATAACCAATATAAGCTTCACTATCTATGCCACTTCAAACAGTTAAACTTCAATCAGAATTCAATTATTTATAATCTGCTGTGACCAAGTAATCCAAGCCTATGGCACCGAGATTAAATTCAGGTGAACAGAATTCCAGCACCTTTCCCCAGTCGTCAAACCAGTGCACTAAAAATGATTTCACTTTGCCTTAATCCGTGCGAGATAGTGAGCAGAACTAATGCATTCTAAAGGGATATTCTGGCTTGGACAAAGGCGACAGAACTAAAAAGTGCTGAGCACATTTATCACCTGCGATCTGTCTGCATAAGCGCAGCTGATGAAATCGCCTGCAAAAAGGTGTTCCCTCATTTGTGTGTAGATGACCATGGAGAGATTTCATGCCTTGCCAACAAATCTGTAGTTGAGAGGAAAAAATGTATTGTAGAACTGTGCTGCTATTCCTGAACATTAACTTCAGCACTCAGTCTGGAGAACGCTGTGTTAAAGCTGCGATGCAGTACGATCAAATTCAATAAGATTTAAACAGAGAAAATCAGATTTTTTTATAGAACTTCTTGGTTTAGCTGGATTAGCACTAAACAGAAATGTAGCACTTATTTCTGTAAATAAATAAAATGCAGACATTTTAGCGCAGTAGCCCAGCGATGCATACACAAACACACATATACACATCTATGCAATGCAGAATATGTATCAAAATGATTCCAATATGTCATCATTCATCTTTAATAAAATGCGTTACAACACGCTTTTCTTAGTATATCGTGGTATTGTCTAGGGATGCACTGATATGGGAGTTCTGATAAGGAAATCAAATATTTTTAAATTATAAATATGCCACTGCTGGTACACTGGTACTAGATTGGCACAAGGTAAAATTGGAACTAGATCCATCGAAATTAGCAATACAGAGAAATAACATTTATTTGTAGAGGGTTAAAAATGTAGTAAGATGAATAAAACACAAAAATTTTAGCAATTTCAAGTGAAATTTCAGCAATATTCTGCTGTTCCACAGTATAATCAATCAACAAAAATAATTTTGAATTAATCAAATCTAAACATCTGTCTGTTAAAATTTTTTTTAAAGCAAATATCTGCCAATACTGATATGATTCCGATGTCATCATGCACCCCTAGTGTAGTCAGTACTTCTAAAACACTGAACAACTGCACGTATCACAAAAAACTATTGCAAAAAACGAAAAACAACAAAAAAGGTTTCTTAACGTCTTATATTTACGTTTTGCAATATGCAAAAATATAAGGAAAAACTGAATATCAACAAAATCAACAAAACCTGTAATTTGACTGGTGGTGTTAAAACTTTTGCATGTAAGTGCTGTGACATAATTTTTTGCTACCTCACCCAACTCTATATCCTGATGAGATAATAAACAAGCTAAACAACACAGACCAACTGTATCTAATGCTAACACACCCAAAAGTAGGCTAATCTAGACCTAGCTGCACTATAAAGGTAAATAATGTGTGTAAAAAAAGCCTAGAAAATGCAAAACCATACAATTTAAAATACCAGACATTAAGGAGAGCACTGCTAGTCTTCACACATCCTATCCTGCTATTAACCGCTGGACGACTGTTCCATGGGTGAACATAGACATACATTAGTCATAAAACTGCATTATTAAGAACTAGTTAAGAACATGCTGACGCCTCAGGGAGCTTACAAAGCACAGTCTAATCAAGCAGACGTCCTCTCCACAGCAGAGAACTTGAGTGAAACACGGTATTGAAGCACTGGGACCATTTTACTGTTGGAAGATGGCTTTGAATGGAGACTCAAGCGCTTCTGAAACATTAAAGTATTCCAAATGTCCAAAGTGCAAGCGTGAATAAAAGAGATTTTTGTCAATAGCCTGGAGGTGTTGACTCAGCCCAGACCCTTTCCCACAGCAGTCCTGTACATCTGAAACCTAACGTTCAAGCACAGCAAACAAACCTCAATAACCAACTTGCACCACTTGGTTTGGTTTCGATTTAGATGGAGATTTAATCAGGAAAAAAGAATGCTTGCTTATTAGTCATAAATATTTCTTCATGATGACATTCGGTAAGTATTAATAGTCTAATTGTTAATCACAGTCCGCCCATTTTTAGTCTCCAAAGGATTTTCTCATAATGTTGTGGCAGACAGTGTAATGACCCAGCACAGGGTATGCAATTAACACAGTGCCTTCAACAAAGCAGCAGGGGGGCTTAATGGCAGAGAA